ATTAACCTTTTGTCCCTCTGCAAAACGTGATTCCAATGCTAGCTTTAACCAATCTGCTGAACCTAAATCCTCTTTGCCTCAAACCAGAAGCCCTTTGATTCAGCCCTTGTAAACAATCTCAAACAAACACCCGGTTTGTCGTCAAATGCCTTTAACTGGAGATTGTACTTACAATTGCTAACAACAGAACACGCCGCCTAACTCCACCTAGCTAGGAAGACTTTCGAAACAAATATCTTTGCTCAACCTTGTTCAAACCCTTTTATTTCAACAGAACCATCTCACTAACCGATTTGAACCACTGCTTGCTTCTTTGAACCTGTCTTACACCCACAAACTTGTGACGTGCCTGAGACTTCTCTTTACAGCCCCTGAATCATATCTTACAACCCTATTACGCCATTTCAGCTGTAGATTTACCCTTCAATACTTCAAACCAGTTTGCAGACTCCACCTTGTTAGGTACATGCATAACCATTCTCAGACTTACAACCAAGAATCTCTCTCTCAACCATCAACCTCACTTGTAACCGTGCCTCTGATACAGTAGAATCTTCACTTGATTGTCCAGTAAGTGTTTTCCTGAAAGATTCCTTCATGAGTCTTCTTAATGATGCAACCAAACACCTCATAACTCTTGAAGTTGTTGTCTCATAAACACAGTTCAAATCCACTGCATTCATAACCTTCTAGGACTTTTACCAGTTGCAAATTACAGACTTGAGATGATATGTCTCCATGCTAGATGCATAACACACATTGACCTTTCTTGAAGTAACATTCCTGAGACAGCCCTAGCAAAACCGTTAAACTCTCCTTTGGTCCATCAGATACCTCTTTGAAGCTTGAAGAATCTGAACCAATACAAGATACTCACTGAAAAAGCACGGCTCCACCGAGAATCAAACTCCTTCTGACACCAATTGCTCCACCTGGAACAATAATACTCAGAAGTTCATACGCCTTTATAACCCCAACTTCACTTTCTTGTACTCTGACCTTCTTCTCAGTCTTGTGACTCAATACAACCACGCGAACTAATTCTTTATACCAGAAGATCCCAAGAATTATGTACTCTCTGCTGAAGCTTCCACGTTTGGCTTTCTTCCACCAAACAGTTCAGGCATTGATTGCCTTAGACGTATAGATCTAATAAGCCATGAACAGTTATAAACTCAAATATACTTAACTCAGACATTCTTCTGACTTTGTTCCATAAGAACCTGAGTCTTCTGCAATCATTTCTTGAACCTCACCATTCTCATTCACAGAAATCTCACATATGATATAGATTGATATCTCTGATGTGTATCAAATTATGTTATACTTACTATGCAGACCTTAAACCTTGAGTATTCCACATCTGAGCTTCCCTATAACCAGCTTATAATTCCTCTTTGATTCATTATTACCATGAATCACAAGAGCCAGAAACCTGTTCATTAATCTAGGTCTCTGTCACACTGATTTCTCCATCAGCTTGTAAGAGTCTATCACATCCATTCATCTGCAGAAACGAATCAACCTGAGTGACCACTGAAACCTCAAGCCTGAGCTTGCCTCTGTCACTCACAATACCTCACCGAGGCTACCTGTCGTTGTTACCACAAAGAAACTTTGTTCCAGCAAACAACGGTATGTTGTTCACCTAATTTATCCTTGCTCCAACTGCTTCCTCATTGAGATATAACCTGTTTCTGCTTCTTTTTCCTGACTTTGATGTCTCTCTATGTTTTCTCTTAAATGCTCCTATGACTGGTCCATTTCAGAGAAAACGTCCATATGATGTTCCAACTGAATCCCATCTGTTTCAGCACACTTCTCCCACAGAATGAACAACATCATATCCTGCAATCAAATCCATGTTCTTTTAGATTTTTCCAGACTGCAACAAGCTTTACAATGATCCCATTTAAACCTTGATCATCATAACCGGTGAGCTTAACAAAACCACAAGAAACTGATCTTCAGTCACGAAGACCGAACCTGCACTTTAAACCTTCTCAAATCTTAACCCGACCTTGAATTCTCTCAAAGTTCTTAACACGTCTTGATCCCAACAGAATTCTCTATCTTATTCAATACTCCCCTGCAACTCCCTATAACTTGAATCTTGAAACCTTAACTAATGTTTAAATAGCCACCAACACACACATAATTCCAACTTCTAAGGCGTCCCCTAGTCATGCGATTCATGTGTGTTACTCACAGCTTAACTTTCAGAAAAAAAAAACACTTGAACACCAACTGCATCATCTCTTTTTCACACAGATTTAACCAAAGCAAAACAACCTGAAAACCCAGTACAACGTTGGCAAAATCAGAATGCAACCATACGTGTTCTACCAAGATTTCGATTCCCTTGAATATGCAGATCATGAGCCACCAGAAACAACAATACAACTTTGTAATCGCAGCGAAAATAGACCAACTTGTCTTCAAGATTTGAGCCTTGATAACTGATGAGACAATTCTGATGTTTTAGACCTTGAGAACCATAGCTCATTCCCTTCCAAATCTGAATCCATCTTTAACACGTGAATTCCTCCACCTCTCATCATAAATCTCTAAACCGCAGATTCGAACAACCTTCTTTATTCTAAGAGTTCTTATTTCAGCCTCGTGATAAATCCTTCTCATGATTTCAACATCACCTCTTGTGAGTCTCTTTGACCAGAACTCACAAATCATTAGGGAAAGAAACTCACAGTTTCTCATGATTTTCAACCACAATCACCCTTGAATCTTCTTTCTCTAACACCGGCGTCTTCTACCAAGAACGGTCGTGACCCTCTTCTTCCTTTGCTCTCAACACCGCATATCTCGCAACGTCCTCCGCTTCTTCTCTACTGAAGTCGCGATGTTGCCGAACCTGAGAATCTTCACCTATTTCTCCTTTCTCTCGGTCCGCGATGTCTCCGTCTTCCATGAAACAAAGAGCTTGAGCTCTGATATTACTTGTGGAACTTTTCAAGTCCATGTCCAACTCTTCCCATTAGTATGATATTGGCAAAACCCGCACGGATTTGTTCTTGGGCTCCTTCCCAAAATGCCTCATACTAATTAGAGTTGGACAACTCTTATATATTAGACAATTCTTGTCTAAACTTCCAATGTGGGACTTGGATTGATATCCCAACATTGAGCTTTACTAAAATTATGAAAACAATCCTCCTCTTAAAAAGAAAGAGTTAAAAAAGAAAAACAGAGCATGACTCGGTAAACAAATATATGAATGCAAACAGAAAAGTGAACAAACAGAGAAAAATGAATAATCGAACAGCCATAAGCCTAAATCTAAATGGAGTTGTGCCGGTTTTTCAAGTGTCATATAGGAATGAAACTTTCTATCTCTTGTCACACTCACACCCTTCGTAGTGGCTCTCGTAATTTTATTGGCTTGAATACGAACTGATCGGAACTCACAGATCCCAAAACTATGAAAAACTTGCGTAATCTCGTTGTTCTTCATCGGCAAAAAGGAACATGCCAAACTTGGAAGTGATGATGGAGAGGAATCATGGGACATTTGACAGTTTTCAGAAAGGGGAAGTTTATAGTGGTCTTTTCTTCTAAACCGCATCAAGTAGTTTACATGATAAAACCTCCTATCTAGGAAACAAACACAAGAAAAAGGTCTTCCAATCAAGATCTGGGTTTCTTTCGTCAAGAAGCAAACACATCTGCGTGTTCTGAATGCTTGCTTACTGAGGCAACTCGAGATCGGGTCTTCGATCAAAAGCATCGCTAGTAGACTCGTCTGGAAATGCGTCTGGATATGTAGCCAGAATCTTACTTTTGATGCTCCTGAAACACAGGAGCACTCTGTAAGAGGAATGCAAAACTCAAACGGATACAAGAACGGGGGAGGCGCATACCTAAGTTTCAAGAAGATGTAATCGAGGTCTGCTTTCATCGATTTCAAAAGACGAGTGTTTCTAGAGAATTCCAACGATACATCAGTGAAGCAATTTTCTGCAAATTCGTTGTAATGGGAGAGAACTGCATTGCTGTCCTGTAGCCTCCCCAATCTAGGAAATTAGCGCACGATCAAAATCCAATATTAATCAAAGCATTAATAACCATATCGGGTTGATCATACAAACAAACTTCAGCAAATAACCAAACCACAAGTACTATACGATTACCAAAATTTCAAGAGATGAAATCTCAGTCAGTCTCTAAAAGAAGTCATATCAGTGGAGTCTAGTGTGATCAACGTTCAAAAGCTGCACTATATTCCAACAACATTCATCGTGAAAAGTAAGAAGAGCTTACATGAGGTGCTGCAAATGTCTGAGAGAATTAAGATCTTCTGCCTTAACAAGGGTTTTGAATTCATCAGACACTTGTTGTGAAGCTGCTCTTATGGGTTCTTCTTCCATATTTACCTGAATGACAAAGAGCACAAGGCCCAAAACCCAGAGACCATTTAAAATTACTCAAAACTAAATCAAAATTCCACAATTTGGATTAACCCAGAAACCAATTAAACTGATTTCTAACATCATCAGTGACAGATCCCCGCAACCAAAAACCCTTCAAATAAATAAATAAAAAGATCTAAATCAAACGTAATCGAAACACACCTGATCAAACGAATACGAATACAGAATCAGGCTCACCTTGTGTAAGTGGGAGATGCGATTGATTGCCTTTTTGTAATCTCTCGTTTCTGATTTAGACTCGATTCGGTTAATCGGATTTCGGGTCGATAAGATTTGGAAAATAAAACTGGGGTTGCGGTTGTAAACGTTATCCAGCGTTTTATTATTTTATGCCATTTGATTGATAATTTGATAAAAATGGATTTGGCAGTTTACCCGTTTTCTATTCTTTTTCCGTTTTCTATTCTTTACCCGTTTTCTATTTTACCCGGACAACATCACAAATGCAATGAGTAACAATGCTGTGAGCTTCATGTTCAATAACTTCTTCGTCTCAAGAAAATATATGAGATTTTGATTTTTGGGGTTTGTTTATATTGATGGGTTGAGTTATGTT